GCCACGGTGCAGACCCCCGGCAGGGACACACAGCTCGGCCGTGCTCCCGCACTGCACAGGATGGTGAGCAGGGAGCAAAGGTTCTGCTCGGCGGAGTCTCGGGGCGTGGCAGCGGCAACGCCGGTGGGTCCCTGCAGGCACGGAGCACACCTCACCCTCGGCACGGTCACCCTTCGCACACTTGGCTGCACCAGGCTCTCTGTGACCTCCCCGCACCGTTAACCTTGGGCTTCCCCACCCCATCCCATCCAGGTCTGCCTCGCGCCAGTCCCGGTGCGCAGTGAGGTGAAAGGCAGCCCCCGTGCTGACCTCACCAGAGCACCCGTCTGCTGGGACATGCCTGCAGCCAGCCGACATGACGGCACCCAGCCGCCCGCCTGTCCCCGCAGAGGAATGGTGCTCGGTGCACAGCGTGGGGCAGCGGGTGCGCCCAGCCGGCATGTTGCAGAGGCTTCCCACACTCCACTCCCTGAGGCCACATTCACCCATGGGGACCAGGCTGGCTGTCACCTGCAGCTCCGCCAGCAGACGCAGCAGGACATGGGACCAGGCCGGGGCCATGGCAGGCAGGCGCCGGGTCTCCAGGGCGGGCATGGCCGGGGACAGACCCCCAGCTCTCCATCCCGGAACACCCCTGTGCTGCGCTGCCAGGATGGCCACCACCCCAGGGGAGCCTCCTCCTGCTCAGCCCCCCCGGGTTCCTGTCCCATGAACTCATCTAATCGCTTGTCACACCTGGGCAGCTCTTGACGTCTGCAGCAACGAGTCCTACAGCTGGGTGAGGAGACCGCCCGCCCTCTGCCCCTTGCCTGCGGGTCTGACCCAGCACCCTCAGATCCTGCAGCCGCAGAAAGCAAGCTCTGCACTCTCCTGGCCACTCTGCATGTACCAGCCTCCCTCCTGTCCCCTCTGCCTCCTCTTTTCCAAGCCGGAGAGCTCCAGCCCCTTCCTCTGGGCTCCCCGTGGCCACAGGGGTGGCCCTGGCCTGTGGCCACATCTCCCTTTCCCTCGAGGAGGGTGCTGTTGGGTGCTGACGTCCCCGCCCTGGCTGCAGCCTGGCTGCTGGGGCTGGGACGGGGCCGTGGTAAATGATTTCTCAGGCAATAACAGGTTGTGGGGCTGTTGCTGCCTCGGGCACAACTGTGAAACGTAGCATGAGTTTCGGCACCCGAAGGTTATGTGCGTGGCAGCCCCTCCCCGGCCCCACATGCATATAAACCCCCGCCAACCCGCGCGGGCCATCCAGCACCCAGGGGAGCACCATGAAGACCGCTGGCATTTTGCTCGTGGGCATCCTCGCCCTGTGTGCCCAGCTGCAGCTGGCCGCTGTGGCTGCCGGGGGCACAGGTGAGTGCTCAGGGTCACGGGGCGGCTGCATCCCGCTGGCGCTCGGGGTGCTGTGGGGCTGGCTCGGGCTGGGGGTCCAGCATGGGACGAGCAGGTAAGACCGATAACACCAGCAGAGAGCCAGGTGCTTCCCCGGCTCTAGGGCACCCCACGCACCACCGCCAAGCCGCCAGGCTCCAGCTCTGCAGAGAGGGGCTGCTGAGGTCTGCGCCGCGCGGGCAGCGCAGGCAGGCGGGGGGCTTGGCGGCAGCAGCAGGATGCGGCAGGACGGCGGGAGCCCTCCTGCCCACAGGGCGCACCGGCCTTTGGCTGCCAGCTGGTTGTACGGCCGGGCCCCAAAGGGGTCAGATAATTCCCTGTGCGTCAGCCCATGCACACGGCGCAGGGACCCTGAGCTGCCGACTGCTGGGGCCTGATGACTCCCAGAGGAAGGGCCGTCCCTCTCTATCGCTGTCCCCTGCTTTCCCACTCCGTGTCGCCGCGGGAGGCCGGGTATCTGCTGGGGGCACCTTGCCTGGCCCAGCAACGCTTCCCTTTTAATCATTGACTGCCCTCCCTTGGCAGGCAGGGAGACGTGACTCCGACACCTTCCCTGCTGCCATGAAGGAGCCGCGCTTGCCCACGGGGCTTGGGCGCAGCCCGCGTGACTGGGCTCAGTGGCAGCGGGCACTGCCACCCAGGGATGCTGCAGGGAAGAGCCCTTGGGGTTGGGCTCGGGGCTGCTGCACCCAAAACCTCAGCCAGGATCCTCCCCCAGGATGTGCCTTGGCATGGGGACGGCTGCCTGTGGCTGTGCCGGCAGACACCCGCGCTCCCACGGCCATCCTCAGCCTGTCGAGGAAGCACCTGGCAGAGCCGGGGCAGGGAGGGCAGCATCCCAAATGCCGCGCATTGAGGATGGAAGCCAAAGCATTTCTGTCTCCTGGAAAGCGATGCCGACTGCATGGGCTGGAGCCTGGCACGTTCAGTCCCTCTCCAGCTGCTCTGGCTGGCGGGCGGCGGCTCCAGCTGGATCGGCCGCTCGGCAGCCAGCCGGGCACGCCAGGGCCAAGGTACAACCTTGGGCAAACCCACCCACACCCACAGTGCTCCCCACAGCTCTCGCCTTCCTCTGTGGTTTCCCCCTCGTCTCCTGCCACGAGCCTGTTTCTGGGCTCCTGTCTGCTCCTGTCCAGCTGCTCCGGTGCAGCCTGGCTGCTGGTGTCCACGCTCGCAGCCTCCCAGCTCCGGCTGCTCGCTGCCAGCACCGAGGACATCCCACACTCTGGGGCAGAGCAATCACGGGATCAGACCAGGGCAATAACTTTCAAAGGCAAGCGCCACCGGTAGCATGGGCACAGGAGCAGCAGCTCACTCACGGTGGGACACTGGGGCAGCCCTTGCCCTGGCAGCGGGGACGGCACCGCTGGGTGGGCAGCATCGGACCGGTAGCAGTGCTGCTGCTCCAGGAAAGCCACCGCTGGGTCCGGGCGGGCTCTGACCCTGCGCAGCAGAGGCAGGGATGGTGCAGGTCCCTTGCCTCCATCCTGGAGGGCAGTGCTCACACAGCCCAGATGATGCTCATGCCTGTAGTGACCATGTTGCGCAGCGTGCCCCGGCCCTGGCACAGGGATCACCGGGCTGCAACACGGCTGCCTTTATTCAGGGAGTCCTGTCATCAGGCCAGGGCTAGAAACACCAACCCGGCTCAGTTCACCAAAGCGCTGTCCCCAGCAGGGCCCAGGCGTGCGGGCAGAGTGGGAGCATCCCAGCCAGCCCGAGCGTGGCCAGGTCCTGGCAGCCTCCCTGGCAGCTCCCCAGCACCCAGCCACTGAGCACCCCAGCCTGGAGGGCACAGGGATGAGGACCGCCCTGCCGCTCTCCCCGCCACCCCAGGCCTGTGCCCCGTCCCTACACATCGGCTCCTGCTGCCGATGGCGGTGAAGCACGGAGCAGCGGCTGGGCAGGCAGCTGGCCCATCCGCACCGGCTCCTGTTACTGCATAAACACCCGCCGTGGGGAGGGGACCGCAGGCAAAGGCAAACAGTTACTGATTTACTGCTGCTCTGTTCCATGCCGCATTGTTGACTGTGGGGTTAAATTACCTGGAGACAGACCCCGGCAGAGCGGACACCAGCTCGTGTCTCGGGGCAGGGACCGTGTCCCCCGCCCCATGCACCCCTGGCCCACGCAGGGCTGCAGGATGCTCCAGCCTGGAGCTGAGGCTGTCCCTGGAGCCTCTGCCAGCAACGAGGGCACATCATCACTGGAGACACGGCAGGTCTCACCCTCCTCCCCACGCAGGAGAGGCTCAGCTGTGCAACCATGCCCAGGATGGGGCCCAGGGAGCCAGGATGCTCTGGGATTGCCTCCCAGCAGAGGGGTCCAGCCCATGCCCCCCAGCCAGGCAGCACCAGCACTGCACACCCACACTGCACACTGCACACCGGACCTGCACCGTAACGGCAGCCGAATGACCCAATGCACCGACCAGAAACTGGGAGCTGCGAGCAAAGGGGCCAGCGTCCTTGGCCCCCCCCGGCACAGTGCTGGGCTGCTGCCCTTCCATCAGCAGCCCCAGAGGAACTGAAGCCACCGCTGACAGCGCCTGCGGAGGAGCTGGGAACTGGCAGAGCAGCAAACGCTGATGGGAGCAGGGCAGCCACGCTGGGTGATCTAGGCCACTTGGCTAGGTGGGCCTATCCAAACAAACCCCACCTCGGTGCTGCCAGGCACCACGAAGCATCCCGGCCTGCCGGAGGGCAGTGCCCGTGCCACGGGAGGGGTATCCCAGAGAGCCGCCAGGCTGAGGGGGTCTGGGGTCATAGGGCCCCTGGCACTGCCATGCCCCCAAGCACCGGGCGCGCAGCCAGAGCATGCTGGTGGCTCACTCCCCGCCAGCCACTCGCTCAACCGGCACTGCCGGCCAGTCTGGGATGCATCCCTGGGGCTGTTGGAGGCTGCGAGGACAGCAGGGGCCATGGGATGAGGCTGTGGCCAGGCAGAAGGAGGTGCCGAGGCTGCCGGAGAGGCGTGGGGGAGCCCCAGGGTGGGCACCTGCCTGGAGGTGCAGGCAGCCTGGAGGGCCCTTCAGTCGAGGAGAAAGCTGGAGGAGAACAAGTGGCTGGGGCCAGAGCTGGGCGGACAAGAGGCACA